TAATATCAGATACTTAGTTTAACACCCGTACAGATCCACGGGAAAAATAATAGTTTTCTGTATTATATTTTTTTAAGGTTTTATGTTTTATACATCAGACGTGAAGACAAAATATTCTGCACTAGAATGGTAGCAAACATTACTCGAATTCAGTCTCCTCAACACTTCGCGGACCGGCGATTTAAGTATTTAAATCACCCTGGGGACCGGCATTAGCGAAAAGCATGATATCATGCGACCGGTCCTTTATGTGTTTCCTCCTGAATCAAATTTTGATTTGTTACTGTCGTTCCCAAGTATTTGAACTGTACCACATTTTCGAAGTACCTGTTAGCTATCTTTATATTATAATGGTGCGCGTAGTGACGAGACGACAACATATACTTAGTTTTCACCCTGTTTACTTCTGGACCAACCTCCTTCCTAGCGTAAATCTGCGCATGCTTATAATTCTGCCGGAGTGGAGGAAGGACATACTAGGGAGCACAGCGCTCTGGTTTCTGACGAGGGATGCAGTTCTGTATTTCATAGAGTACCATGTGGGCTCAAGAATAAATGCTGTTCCATGTTGCGAGAAATTCCTCCCCCACTTCCCACAGTCAAAAGTAGCTGAACTTTCTCAAACTTTATCACACTTAATAACATGAAATCCCCACACAAACTGTGATGAAAACTGCCACTTGTGTCTTGAGTTCTTCACACAGGAATCTACCGGTCACAGCATTCGAAATTTTGCTGCCGGCTTGACATCGTAGAATTAGGCAATAAATTAATATTTGCAGGTCATGGTTACATTTTCTTTACCAGATAATATGCTGAGATACCTTTTTATGTCCACTATATGAACTGAAGCAAAAGTAAGGTTACGTTGTCCCTATCCTTAAATAATTAAACATTACGCCATGAAGACCAATGGTGGAATGGATGTAGGTTATTGGTCAGCTTCACGCTTTGGCAGCTTTACCCCAGGGGAAAGAGCCACTGTACCCATTTGCTAGGAGGCTGGATGAACCCTAGAGCAGGTCTGGACAACATGGAGAAAAGAAGTATGTGACTCCTGCTATGAATTGAACTCCAGCCTCCTGCCCCTAGCCCGTCCATATATGTACTAAAGAGTAGCAGAAATTAATTTCAGTTCAATAGAAACCAAAGAAGAGTTTGCCACATTTTCCTTCCCAAAATTGTACAGCACTAGGAGCTCCTTGGTTCGCCTTTTTTTGTTGCAACGGTCCTCCGGGGATTGGATGTAAACATAGATGGAAGTTGGTACTGAACTGGATCTTCGAGAAAGAATGCATTAGGATGGAGATTGGAATGAACTTCCTGAGGATAGGGTCCGATGAGAGATTTTGGGAACACGGTAATTTACATCTGCGGTTTTATGGCATAAATTTCTCGATCAGCTTAGTGACTACAAATTTCCGAAGAAGACTTTTGCACCATGAAGTTAGCTGGTCGTTTCGTGACCGTACAGTATGACTTAGGAATGCTAAATCCTGGCCATCAGCCTGTCCGCGTGTTCTGGAGAGAGAGCCTCGCTAAGTCACCTGAAGCTGTAGCAAGGTTTAAAGTGGACTATATGGCAATTAGCATGTGTCAGTTCAGCAAGCCAGATTACTATGTCACTAGGACATTCGGAATTAGGGGCCGTCAGATTTGGGGAAATTGCCACGCTGAAAAGCTATCACCAAAATATTCATACTTTCCTCCTTATCGTTAATCAGTGTTAGGACTAGTTCATTACACAGTGTATCTGTTTCCATGTTATCCTTTTTTTTATTTACTCGTAATTCGCCACACTCGGTGAACTTCTCGTAATTTCAACCGATAATTTAATAAAAATTTTGGTTCAATACGAGATCTTCTCCTCTGTCAATTCATCTACAAGCTCTGCAAGATTTAATTTTCGCAACACCCTCTATCCTCAAAAGTTGGCACTAACTTCGGGGACAAGCGGCGGTCGCTCGGTCGGTATAGCTCTTGCGGACTAAAAGCCACGGAGTTTAGTTTCGTTTTCGTTTTTTCCCATCAACTCTTAGGTCTATGTGTTGATCTCAGCTTCCTTGCCTGCACACACAGCTGCCTGAAAGTGCGAAATCAAGCTTAATTCTGTATCAACCGTATGCGCTCTCGGAAGAGAACCTAGCGCATGCGTGAATGGGGAGAAGGAAACCTTCCTGGCCTATTTCAAGGTACAGTGTCGTAATTGGTAAAATGAGAGCCAGAGGATAGGGATTAGTGCTCCGGCTTCTTTTATGGAAGGTCTGGGGCGCGGGGCTGGTCATTCTGACTAAGACTTTCCAAAGTCGTTCTTGGTATTTACAGGCCAATTCTGTGATTCTGTCTTAAAACAGGCCAAGACAGATTCTGCATTCAGCGCCCCTCACTCACGGCCATTTACCACCTGCCATATGTAGACTGTATAATTGACGAAACTTTGTTAAATAAATCGAGACTTGAACTGAACAATAAACATCGGTCAGTCTTAATGTTACTGCCAAATCTAGAACAGTTTCTCTCGCTCCTTTTCTTTATTTCTCCTTTTGTTTTCGTTTACTTTTTCCATTTTTCTCTCTTCTCTCTTTGCTCTCTTTTATTTCATTCTTCATTTTTACTACTCTTTATTATCCATTTCTACTCCACTTTTTACTATTATTATTTATCTCATTTTTATCGCCTTCTTTCCGTATTTTTCTCTTAATTTCTTTACTCTTACTCTCTTTTTATCTATGCATTTTCTCTATTTTTACTCTCATTATTCTCTTATTTCTCTCTCTCCTCTCTGTTTCTTTTTTATTTCCTTATTTCTTTCTTACCTCTCTGTTTCTTTCTTTTCTCTCTCTCTCTCTCTTCTAGCCTTCCTTCTCTCGTACTTTATTTTAGTATTTGTTGCTTTATCTTTTTTCCATATTTTATTCCTAATTCTTTCTCTCTTTCCAAGTCTTTCATCGGTTCTTCTTCGTTTTCCTTCTGTTTATTTACCCCTCTTTCTTTCCTTTCCCATCCCCATTTTCTATTTCTCCGTCTCTCTCTCTGTCTGTCTGACTTCGCGACGACTGTAGCGTTCCCGCAAATTTAATTTATGTCTGTCGGGTACTGCGGCTTGCGGGGTAAGAAGCCTTAGTCTTCTGCGCCGACCCTTGGCGCACAACAGTTTTTTACTGTCGTCGTTAATTTACTAGAAATAGTCAGGCTAAAGTGAAAGTGTAGGTGATGTGCTGGTCTCTCACACGGCGGCAAAGTACTGAGATACACACCATTTCAGTTTGATATGAAAAATCAGCACACAAATGCAAATCGATTTCCAATGTCCGGTGAGGCAGACATAGCGCCTCGCACTTCTGCAACGCGCGCCGCAAGACCCCAGAGCGGAAACCAACCTTTTCCAACTTTCTTTATCCGTTTACTCTGTCTCTGAAATATCGATGAAGTCAACTTGCTGTATTCGACAGGCAAGAAGAACCTAGTTAAAATGTCTCCTGTACCTAGACATGAAGCCATGATGGCGCGTGCAGGTACGTCTCAACGCATTGCACTAGATAGAGCTCAGCGGGGATTTCACGCACCAGCAAAAGTCTGCATGCTCCATATACGTGTATGTAGGAGACAAGGTGAGGAGAGGGACTTCAGGTGGCGCGATATACTTACGAAGTTTGATGAAAATCTGTACAAGCGCCCAAGCGAATTTAGTGTTTTACATAAAGATTTGAGAGGTTTCAGTGTTGGTATTACTAATTCGAGGGATTTATAAAGTATGTCGTTGAGATAGATTCAGGTGGTAAGATATGAGTACGAGATATTATGATGATCGGTTCAGGCTTTCGAACAATATTAATTTTATCATCTAAACAGTTTGAGGGGCTGCAGAGGTGTATGATGTATACCACTGAGTTGCTCTCAGATTTCATTATATACATTCGGCTTTTCATGAAGATCGGTTCAGGTATTCGAGACAGTTTGAGAGCTTGCAATGTTGGTATTACTGAAGGGTGGGAATCTATGACGTATGTCGTTCAGATGGGGACGGGAGGCATATACAAAATTTCATGAAGATTGGTATAGGCATTCTAGTAATGATAAGGTTTTGCTTTAGAAATCTGAGAGGCTGTAATGTTGGTATTATCGATACACTTAACACATTTCGTGATGATCACTTTGGGCGTTCAAGTAATAATAAACGTCTATGCGTAGGATCTTGGGAGGCTGCAATGTTGGTATTACTTAGGAGACCTGTTTTTAGGTATATCGTTCAGATGAGTTCAGGTGGCGTGATATACATACCAGGTTTCATGAAGATTGGTACTGGTTTTCGAGCAATATTAAGGATTAACTTCAGCAATCTGAGATGTGTCAATGTTGGTATTACTGATGGGAAGTATTTGTGAAGTACATAATTAAAAGTATTGAAAAGTTTTTAGGCGGGATAAATATACAGACACACAAACAGAAAGGTGATCACATAAGCTTACTTTTATTTTCTATAATGACAATAGGCTAAAAATCAGTTCTGTCTCACAGACTACATAATGTGTCTCCATTACAAGGACGAACTGGTTAATGCTGTTCAGAGAAATAATTGGTGTTTATGTAAGATTTGAGGTTTTCACGGCGATGACTATGAAGAAAGCAGTCTTCTGGGATGTGGCACCGTGTATATGTGGTGTTAACCGAGGTTTCGGAGGAACGTATCGCCTCCATCTTAAGGGTAGAAGAAAAAATATAAGAAATACGCAGGCGAAGAGACCGTGAGAACCGGCACTAGCAGATACAGCGATACATTCTTTCGAAACGTCGGTTAACACCACATATACACGGTGCCACATCCCAGAAAACTGCTTTGTTCAATTGGTGTTTATTTGGAGAATCAAGAGGTTCCATGTTTGTATGGGCAAAATGTACTGCCCCTGAATGAATAAGGTGTTATTCCAGAATTTTCGTGGAGGGAACAAGAAAGAACACAAAAGTTGTTGTCAAGATAGCGAGCATATGTTTTCTTGCAGTGATGGCTGGGCTGACCGCAGTGACGTCACTGACGGCTATGAGATGCAAGCGCGAGGCAGCATTTCTATCCGTATCCACTCGTCAAACGTCACGGATTTCGACGAGTACTACTTCAAACTGAACCCGTACACGAATACCCGGAACCCGTGGTTCCGCGAGTTCTGGCAACAACGCTTCAACTGCAGCATTCGCGAGGATTACGGCAACAGCACTGTCATGTCTGCAAAGCTCGTCTCAGCCTCACTGGAGAGAGGAGAGTGCACAGGTAGAGAATACAATCTGGTTTTAACGTCTCGGTAACAGTAAACCAAGTGAGTCGGCGAGACCTGTCAATTCACAGGGAAGCTTACTTTAACACATTGATGTCATGACAGATTTCAGGCTTTCGCCATCGTTGACTGTTGATGATAAGTGAGTTCTTCGGTGGTTACACCGTATGAATTTTGGCATTGTTACCGACCCTACGCATTTGGGCACTGAAGGTGGAGGTGTCGTGTACTTCCGAAGCGTCTAGAACATTACCCGTTTCCGCATGGTGTAACCACATAAGAACTGAAATAGCTTATCTGTGCCACTAAATCGAATGAGCCAGCGAGAACTATCATGGCATACAAGAGCACAATACACAGCGACGGATTTCTCTTTCAAAGGTTACTTTAACCCTTTCAGGGTCAGTAGAATAAGACAGACCTATTTGTTTACAAGAAAGCAATGAACCGGGACAGGGCTCTTTTCTAAGTATATTTTAAGCATTTCGGTGTCAATTAATAGGGTACAACAGATAGACATTTATCACTCTGAAATAGGGGAAGCCAAAGGGTACAGAATCCCTTTAATATCTAGTTAACAACTTTAGGTTTCAGAGGGTCGAGTGAGCCAAAAATGGACTGAGTCACTGAGACAGATACTGTTAGCTATGTCACACTCCGTTCTGCATAATACTTAAATCGGGGGTGAACAGCCTTTGAAGTGAAGTGCTGAATTTGAAGGAATCATTATTTCGCTGGACTAGGAAGAGGTTGTATTTTCACGTGTTAGTGACCAGATACGGAATTTAGATTGATAATTTAATTTATTGCAATTTGAGACCCCTAAGGCTGGGCCCACACGAGTGCAAATAATGCGTCCGTTGTAACGGACGTCGTGACGTCCGTTGTAGAAATAAACAAGAGGCGAATGCTACGCTTTCTTCTGGCTCCATTGCAGACAGAAAACTACGCACAGCTTTCTGCAACTGTGCGGTGTCCTCAGCAAAGTCCGTCATAAAGTACGTTCGTTTGCAACGGACGTACTTCGTGCGCTCGTGTGGCCCCAGCCTAACTTCAAATACTAAACACCCAGATGGCCTTGGAACGAACAAAAATTTGGTCATGAGTCCCGTCTGGGCCCGAAGTCAAGAATAACTTGGTTGGCGAGGGCTTGCAGCAATTTACTGCCATGCCAATAATTATAACGTCCGCGTATAAAGTAAATTGACGTTTAATTTTTGGTAACAGGTCGAGAAAAGCTAAGCGACAGATACAAGGCGGATCCGAAGCTGTCCTTCATTATAAAGGCCATCTACACAATGGCATACGGCCTTCACAACATGCATCAAGACGTGTGTGGTAGGGACGCAGTGGGCCTCTGCTCCGATCTCTTCCCATTCAACGGCTCACTCTTCAAGGTATGTTTTCTTCACTTATATAACGACCCTATATCAACTAATCTCTTAGCTTCCTAACTTTCAAGCTGTTTTTATTGCTAGTGTGTTGGGACTAAGTCCCTTATACTGCGGCCACTTCTGGCCTATTTTACCAGCCCCAGATATTAGGTGAGGGTGATTGTGGAGCAATTGGTGGAATAAAGATTGGCAGGGGAAACCCAAGTACTCGGAGTAAACCTGCCTCAGCGCCACTTTGCCCACCAGAAATCCCACGTGATCAGACCCGGGATCGAACCCGGGCCTTCACGGTGGGAAGCCAGCGACTAACCGCTTGAGCTATGGCGCGGCCAAACTTTCAAGTTAAAGAACCTGAAAGTTCAACACCTCTTAGCCTATAATTTCTTTATTAAAACCGTCACAACTCAATTATATTGAGGTCAGTGCAAAGTTTGGCTATGCTACATTAACAAAAGCCATCATCAGACAAATAAATGACCAACATACACACCACTGAACTGCAGTACTAGTAAAATTGGATACAATGATATTAATTATATTAAAAATTTGGCGTAAAAGTACAATAAATTAGACAATATAAAACGAAAGTTAGGGTATAAAACAAGATTAAAATTCTTCAAGTGATGCTTTACATCATCGAGTCAGTCTCTGCTTTTTGCGATTTTGTTGTGTTACCACGGACAAATTGGAGTATTCTATATTTTTTGTGTATATATAAAATAAACTGTTTTGGAGGCTCGTGATGTAGATGTGGTAATATTAATGTTAATTATTTAGTCGGTGCCTGATCTTACAAAGTATTGTCCGTTCTGTGGGGAATGTAAACAATTTCTTAGCCTTCTGTTTGGTAGGATCTCGAGGCACTTCCATTCATCTCTCTCTATCGCAACCCATTTCAATTAGATCAATTTTAATTGTATCCTACGAACTCTTACATCGTCTTCCTTGCGTTTTCTGTGTGCAGACCACACAGAAAACGGAAGTTAGGTGATAGCTACGCACTGTTGGGGTGTGACGTCATTGCGCATTCGCGGAAGTGTTCCTAGAAACGGGTTGCATAACCCCGTTCTATTTTTGAGTGTTTCGGGCGTTGCTTAGCAATGTATATACATGTCACAGTATTTTGTTGAGGTAAAACATAGAGAATATCTTGAATAATGGCAACAGCTGAAATAATGACAATAAAATTACCTTCTGAAGCTTATGTATGTGTATGGGAAACGTGGAGTAGGAAGGATTAACATTGTCGGCTTCCCTTTCCATCTCTATCCGACAGATTTAGAGAGTATGGAAAAACTGCTGAGCTAATCAGTACTCCATGTCTTTAGGTCTATAACACGATGCAGGCTGAAATCTTATTGCGTTCGATTTCTTCACAGAGCTACTTGCTGAACGTAACGTTTATGTACGGGGAAGATGATGAACTGGTGGAGTTCGACAAGCAAGGGGATCCTCCTGGAAGGTAGGTACGTACGGACCCTTACCATTTATCTCTAACCAAGTCTCGGATACCTTTCCTGTATACCGGAATGTCACAAGGATACATCTGACAGCAGAATTCCTGGCAATATACCGGAAAATTAAATTCTTGTATTCTGTTATGAAGCATTCGCCATTTAGGAAGCATCCCACACTGAGGGTGACCTCGAGCTCCCATCATTATGTTCTTCGTACGTTGTTATAACTTGTTACTTTCCTGTCTTAAGAGAAATTACAGCCTTACGACAGGGTCGTGGTTTCCGTACATGCTTCAGTGTGCCCTCTTTTAACTTTTTAAAAGACGGAACGAATATTACTAAACTCCGTATGAGCGTACATAGAGCAAATTGGATCAAGGAATAATATTTTTGAAGTAATATTCGGAAGGCGCAGGTTTGAATCTTTGTCGAGACGCAGATTATAATGAGGTATTTTTGTGGACTTCCTCAGTATGCTCAGGCAGGCGCCTGGACAGTGCATGAAATTGGCCCACCATCGCCTCCACCAGATCCGTTAATTTTTTTTTTTCATTTCCACCCAATCATCAGTAACTGACAATGTCTTCAATTAAACCACGAACTGATATGTAGGATTTGAGGTTCTCATAGAGATGGTTATGAAGAGTTCTCTCTTCTGGGATGTATGGCTGTGTAATCCGTTGAAGTCAACCGACGTTTCGGAGAAATATGTCGCCCCCATTTTCAGGACCGAAGAATAAGCCAAACAAGAAACCTGCGTGAAGTAGGTGGCTCTGCTTACTACATGTTTTACGCTGGTGTCTTCCTTGGCTAATTCTTCGGCCCTGAAGATGAAGACTATATGTTGCCCCGAAATGTCGGTTGACTTTCACCAGACTACACGGCGTTATATCCTAGAAAACAGAACATTTTACAAATTAATAAATAGATATGAGTGTTACGCCATCGGTGATGTCTCCCCTCTCAAATTTTTATTTTCCCCTTGATCAGTAATAACTGTGGTGGGCGCACGAAATTTTGAGGTGGGTGACAGCCCAGCACCACTTAATATACGTAGGGTCGTGAAATTGTGTATGGTAACAGCTTTTCGAAAGATATGTAAATGCTTTAAGGTAAAGTTATGTATAGTGTAATAAAGTAAGAAGACCAAGACGCAGGTGGGTGGATAATATTAAAATGGATTTTAGAGAGACAGGATGGGATAGTATAGATTGGATTGATCTGACTCGCGATAGGGACCACTGGAGGACTCTTTTGAACACGGTAATGTACTTACGGGTTCCATAAAATGCTGAGAAATCCTTCGAGTGGTTGCACAATTGGCGGCTTCTCAAGAAGGGCTCAGCTCCATTAGTGAGTGAGTAAGATAACATGAATAGATTGCAGATATTTCCGGTTGCATTCTAGTCTCACGTGGATAGCTAATATAGTGTTGGAAGTAGGAAAATGAAATTTGCTTATAAGATATATTATAAACATTCCTATACATGTTGTAACAATTATATTTATGGCGACAGGAGGCCTGCTTTTACGTTACATCTGACAACGTTGACGTAGGGTGAATCTGTGCCCCTCTAACGCGAGCTCCCGGAAAGCGTAATAGTAATGGACCCACTAATGTCACCCTGTACCTTATTTGCTGTTCCGTTATCATTTAATCTATTCCATGTTATACATGGGCCCAGGAGCCTAACTCATGAGCCAAATTACATCTCATTGTCGATTTATAACTTACATAGCTCACAACACATACTTAACAGGAGGCCAAGTCTATGCAGTGAGATGTTTGGATTCATCTGGAAGTCCTGTGGAACAAATTGAAAAAAACGAAACCCTTGTCGAATAGTTTGTGCATGTGCATCCACAATTTGTTCCTATGAAACTACTGATGAATTTCGATTTAACTTCGCACTGGGATCTATAGATACGAAAACGCTGAACAAATTTAATTTCGTGTTAAAATGAACTGAGCTGTACACTTGGTCGTCGACTTACGACCGGCCGCACTTACGACCACAAAAGGAATGAAAAATAAAAGATGATTAAATTGTAAAAAGTTAAAAAAAAATTGTAAAGATGTTAAAAAGATTAGAGAGTTTAAAAAATACTGTTAATAAATATATGGCCGACATACGACCAGATCGACTTACGACCTGTCAGTCAGAACGGAAGTCGGTCGTAAATCGACGACCAAGTGTACTTCCACTCGTATATAGGACCTCACAACGTAGTGCTTAGTTAAGCAGGGGACACTTCTATCTTCCAGCTTTATGAGTCTAACATAAACCCCTGTTGACATGACACCCAAATCGAATTTTATCAATTTTCTGGAAAGCAACTCAGGTTTAAAAGATTCAGTAGTTTCACGTCACGAAATGACACATCGTTATGATCTACTGCTCTTAGTTGAGGCATTTCTATATACAGTGTATATCCAGTGAAGCATAAAGAACATAATAAATAAATGTTACTGCTGTCTGAGGTGTGATGCCGTGTAGTCTGGTAAATGTTTTCCAACGTTTCGGACAAATATGCTGCCTCAATATTCGGGAGAAGAAGAAGAAGGGGGAGGAGGAGGAAACAGGTTCCTCCAAAGTGTTGAGAAATACATAGCATACTTCACGGCGTCACATATCAGGAGACAGTGTTTCCGGTGACCCTCCGTATGAACCGCAAATTCAACATAGGAGCTTCTCCAATTCTTTATTAACTCTGCGACCAATAAGTTTGTTTGCTGCTTTTCGCAAATTTATGCTAAAGTGTTTTCACTTCGAGGTGGATAAGATGGATGTCTGCAATAAATTACTGTGAAGATCGCTCAGAAGTGAACATTTACAAGGAACATGTATGGGAATACGTGTACTAAACTGTTCTATACTATTATTATTCTTACATTCACATGCAATTCAGCTATTTGAAAGTTTTGTCGTGAAAACTTTCGGACACAAATTTAATCTTTTTACTGGTTTTAATGCGAGTATATGCCGATCACAGTAGCCGCGCGCTCTAGGGCATAAACTGTCTTGTCCCGCTCGGAAGCTTGGATCGTTTATTCGAATCCCACTCAAGGTATCGACGTCTGTGTGTGTTTATTCTGTGTTTGTGTTGTCCTGCGTGTAGGTAGCGGCCTTGCGACGAGCTGATCACTCGCCCAAGGAGTCCTACCTCATGTGTAAAATGATTACGGAACTGAATAAGAGGCAAGGGCCCTGAATGGGCTGGATGAGCCATTGGAAAAAGAATACGAGTAGGTACAAGTATGCAGGAGCCGCTATAATATGTCAGGGAGAAGCAGACAAACACATGCAAAGAATATGGAGAGAGACGATGGTTGTTCTTGCGTTAGAAACAGAAGAACTTAAGACATTGCAAACCTTCCTTTCTAAGGAGCAAGCAGAGAAAGCATTCTTGTTACGAGCTTATAACACCCTTTAAAGTGTTTCTCATTTTACATGCTTAGAAACGCCAAATCTTTTAACATCTTCATGACTATTAAGTAGACGTTAAGAAAAAGATAGTTAAATGTCACTTTAAGTAGCCAAAAGGGAGAAATCTGGTTATATCTGAAAGTTTTGAGATAAAAGACTAACAGAGTTCTGGTAATTTGTTTTTAAGGTGAGTAAGAAAACAGAACTGCAGACGAAGTTTATTGGATATGTAGCCCCTCTTCCGAAGCGATAACAAGCTATCCTTTGGCTAGGTACAACATAATGAACTTCCAGCTGCTGTCCAATGGCAGCTACGACTACATCCGCATCGGGGACTGGAACAATGGGACTCTCATCATGCAAGAAGATGAGCTGCAGTGGCCCCGGTCAGGAGAGAAAGTGAAGTCTGTTTGTTCGAAACCCTGTCAGCCAGGGTACTACAAGGTACAGTGTTCCATTGTCATTAATCTCAATTAACACTTCCCCAGACGATATTCTAGTCTGTTAAGATTGAAAATTAATTCAGAAACTCTGAATATTCAAGACATTTATTACGATATCTTGGGTGATGTGTTGGGTCTTTGTAATGTCTCTCCCAACAAAGACAAATACCGCAGGAAAATGTGAACGTAACTCCGTGCTTCGAGCGGAGTGTGAACTTGTGATCCCAACTGTAAAAGCCTGGAGACAATGACCACTGTGAGTGAATCCTAATTAAAATTTTTCTACCTAAATCTCTATTCATATATATATACGTATTTCTAAGTATGTTTGTGTATGTATGAAATCACCTTCTGAATACAAGTCAAAACGATAATTTTTCTGGCTTGTATTCGGGTAGTGACCGGTTTGAATCCTGTCGGGATACAAATTATTCTGACTCGAGTTCTTTATGTTTATCCTCAGTACATCCAGGCAAACGACTCCACATTATTTTCAATTTAATGTTCAATAAATCCTCCCACACTCGACGCTGTACGTGTAGTCTAAGATACTGAGAGCACTGTTTAAATAAGGCATACTCGTACCTCGTACGTGTATGAAGCTATCCCTGTAACAGGTCAGCAAGACCCATAGGATTGTGAGACGTCGAGGCTCCCACATTTTCTACAGACAATCGGTGCAGAGATGGCACTTCGGCCGCGACCATATACCCCCCAGGAAGATTCCCCTTACTTATGTCCTTTAGAGGCTGAGTACCCCAGGGCCATAGCGCAGCTGGAAGAATTAGATAAATTGAAAAAATCCACCTTGTCGGGGCTCGAATCCGCGACCTTCCGGATTTTATCATAGTGTCTGAACCAACTATGCTACCACGTGATACGGGCTTCCTCTTCGACGAAGGAAGGATCCGTCTTTCTATGTTACACCGTAGTTTCAGCGCTGTTACGGCATATAGTTCCTGCACGGACTCGCAGAGAACACCGCTTCCCATATTTCCTCTTTTGTTATATGCATAACGATTGCTACACTGACGTGGCGTTCCGTGTTGCATTGTTGCTTCACTCTTTATTATGCCGTAACCTTGTAACGGACGTCTCTTCTAGTGAAACTATTCCGGATTTCAGCGGACATGCCACAGTATTAACGATTATGAAACTAAAGAAAATAAACGCAAAGATTCAGTCCGCATCTGCAGGGAACGGGAACGGAAACGGAAATGCAGACGACGTACACGCCGTCTTAGAGGATATCGTAGGCAGAAACTACAGAAGAACAAATGTCACACACGCATGAAAGTTCACTTGGCTACACGGTTCAAGAAATCTCTGGAAAGGCACGATGGAAGATTAGACAAGCGGGCTCTTGCCAGGAAGAAACCAAGAGATGATATTGTAAATTAATGCAAAATGATACTCTGCGTTATTACTTTATAGAAATGTATGCAAATACAATTGTCCAGTAACACCTCAGCATGTGGTGAAGAGCAAATGTCTAATATAATTTGTGATATTGAAGCAGTTTTGCTGTTCCACCTTCTTGGTTTTGTCATGCTATTACAACCCATCTTCTATGGACTATTCCCCGATTTTTCATGCTGAAATGCCTAATATTTTCATCCATAATTCTTTCCATTCTAATCCATCGCTTATTTGTCCACTTATTTGGGCCCTTGGCACATTTCCTGGTGCCTCTCCTGGGTCACAATAATTTTATCAGAATTATCGGTTATAATTTTATGACTGAGTATTTCATTTCGAATAAAAACTATATCTTTTCGACGAGATTTGAACTCTAAATAAATATACTGTCATACCCTCTTACAATAAAACTTCACTTACTTATGAACATAGCCCAAGTTTCCTTTAATTCCAGTAGGTTTCTGTGCTTCGCACCTTTCGGTAAATATGTAAGTTTCAATCAAGCTCTTTCTTCTAAGCAGTTAGTCAGGAAGAGGTATTTTGCACAGTGTGTTTATGTTTTATCACGGGACGGATTCTCGTATAGGAGACCTCATTGTTGCGCTCAGTAGCCCATAATACTACATTTCATTTGGATGGATTCTCGTATAGGAGACCTCATTGTTGCGCTCAGCAGCCCATAATACTACATTTCATTTGGACGGATTCTCGTGTAAGAGACCTCATTGTTGCGCTCAGCAGCCCATAATACTACATTCCATTTTGATGGTCTCGGAGAATCGATAAAATGACAACTCTCTAATGAGTCTTTGGCTTTGTCTTTCAGAACTTTCAGACCGGAGGGCAAGAACAGAAATGCTGCTGGGCTTGCGTCTCCTGTGCAATCAATGAGTTTCTCCTGAACGATACCACCTGCCGAGCATGTCCAACCGGATATCTGCCGAACGATAACAAGACGGGTGAGCTTCATACTGTAAGACCCGGAGAGGCTGGGTTGGTTCTTAGGTCAATTAAACACTGTGCTTAGTTACTTGACTGGTTACTTACTTACTTACTTACTTAGTCGGTTACTTTGTTGGATAATTAGTTATCTAATTGGTTACTTATTTGGTCGCCCGTTTATTTAGATGGTTAACCAGTTAGTTTAATTGCTTGGCTGACTACTTTGTCATGTAGTCAGTTAGTCGTAAAGGTAGTCATTTACTTGGACTGTAAAGGGTTCTGACAGTGGTGTATAACACTCAGAATTGCTGGGGTTTCGGACTTTACCCATCGTCCGGTATTTTAAAATCAGTGACTGAAGATAGCTCTTTCCAAGGGACCCAACAGAGTAGGTGTCCCCCCCCCCTCACCTGAGGACGGAAACAGATCCAAATTCCGAAAGAGTGTGTTTTCTAGTTTCTAGAATAAGGGACGACGGACAAAGTCCGAAAACCCAGTAATTGCGAGAGTCATTTTCTCATTCAGTGGTTCCTCGATTGAATTCAATCGATTACTGTCTTCTGGGATGTGGAGCCGTGTAGATATTGTGTTAACCGACGTTTCGGAGGAACGAATCGCCTCCATCTTCAGGGTATAAGAAATTCACGAGCGAGGAACCAGAGTGAGCAGGTGGCTGCAGGCGATACGTTTCTCCGAAACGTCGGTTTACACAATATCTACACGGCACCACATCCCAGAAGATGGCATTCTTCATAGTCACCGCCATGAAGAGCTCAAATCTTACAGTTACTTCGAAAAATTTAGTTACTTAAGTATGTTCATAGACATTCGGTTAGTGACTGAGGCAATTATTCTGGCTGGTTAATTGACACGTGTCTGTTACTTAGTCATAAATGTGATTAAGTAGTTAGTTGACAGTCACGGTAGCCGAGCGGTCTAAGGCATGTATTGTCTTCGCTCGCTAGGAATCCCATTCAGGACATGGATGTTTAGTTTGTGTGTGTGCGTTTTTCTGTGTTTGTGTATAGGTAGAGACCTTGCGACGAGCTGATCACCCGCCCAAGGAGTCCTACCGAATGTGTAAGATCTAGAAAAACCGAAGTGAACGGAGAAGTTCATGGAGGTAGGCCTAGGCCCACTGGGGCTGTAGTGCCAAGAAAAGTAGTTAGTTGCTGGGTCACTTGTTCAGTTACGTTGTCCAGTTAATGAGTAAACCGGTCCCGCAGCGTGCGATGAGATACCCCCCGAGTTCGTCCAGTGGTCCGACACGCAAGCCATCGTCTCCATAGCTTTCTCGTGCCTCGGCTTCCTGTCCACTGCGTTTGCAGGAGCTGTCTTTGTTCGCTACAATGACACCCCTGTCGTCAAGTCTTCTACACGGGAGCTGAGCTACCTTATCCTCGCCGGAATGACGCTCAGCCATGCCGCCACCTTCCCGATCCTCGCCGAACCATCCTGGCTGTCGTGCTGTCTGTCTCGTGTTCTGCCTGGACTCAGCTTTGCCATGATCTATGCATCTCTGCTGACGAAGACCAATAGAATCGCCCGAATCCTCGCCGGCTCCAAGAAGCGCTTCCCCTCTAGGAAGTCGAGGTTCATGTCCGCTGCAGCTCAGGTATGTATGTGTATATAGTTGGCTGCACTAAGAGTTCCGCTTTGTGTGCTGAAACATCCGGTATTTAAAAATAACACAAAATAGATGTTTCAGAAAGCTTTTTTAAATATAAATTTTGAATGAAAATGCTAATTGACGGCAGAGAGACAACTGTTGGCAGATCCCTCTACCGACAGAATTATTACTACCTGAAAAAATGGCGTGCTGCGCTGTCAGCACAGTAGTTCCATAATCTAACTCAGCACTAGAACGATTTTATTGTAAACAGAGATGTATGTAAACCTATGTACGTATGTATGCATGTAGAATCGCCCTACAATGTAATTTTACCTGTTCCCCAATATCACTGCTTGAGAGAGTGATCTACATTAACAGACACACCATAAGCCTTGTCGTACTTCATTGCTTTTTATGTTATCGCACGTGAAACAAAAGGAAACTTCGATAAGTCACCTTTTTTCACTTACAATATGAGAAGGCAGAAATTGCAGTACCCGTTCTTCACTCGGGATCTGGTTGATGTCTATGTCAATATCACAACGCAGCAGCTAGATCTGTAAGAATTAATAACATTTATATTCAGTTACTGTGTTTCTGGACATTATCCAACGTATTGTTTTTAATGAAAACACAACATTTCTGAGACTCAGTGGGTTCCACCTGAAGACGGAGACAGAATCCAATCCCGGAAACGTTATGTGTGTTAAATAAAAGCAGGGCGATGCATAATGTTCACAAACACGATATTTGTATTAATATACCATCGTAACAAACTTTTAGATCTTATTTACGTTTATATTAATAAACTAAAGTTCACTAACGTAATTAAAAGGCAGAGATTTGGCGGTGCTTATACACTGTTGAAACAACAGTGAATACTGTACACAGTGGCAAGAATACGAAGTGAATTTTATAAAATGTGGGTGTTCTCTGTTGGGTCCGCTGTACGAAATAGAATAAAAGAAACAAATTAATTACATTACTAAATTATGCCCCTCAGTTAATCGCTGCATAATCAAGTGTCTGAAGGCTCCCAGAGCCGTCATATAACAAAATATGATCATGGATTGCTTGGGACTGGAATCTAGAATCATTTTGCTGGCGAGGACCAGCAGCAATTTAGCAGCCAGTCTGTCGATAAGAAAGTCAACACTCCTCGGCGCGTGCCAGCAGTGATTCATAAAACTTACTTGCTCAGGTCATGGGCAGTTTCCATACTGGAAACTGAAGTAACCAGACAGATGGCGTAGCATGCCCTCCCACTATCTCTCTCTCTCTCTCTCTCTCTCGCAATAATTGCATTCTCATATAGCCTATACTAGAAGCTTACTGGTCGGCCAGTGGGCCTGTTGGATTGGTTTTTCCGTTAGTCATATAGGTTCAAGTCCCGATGAGGTCTTTGAATTTTTTTCAATTGACCTAATCTTTCCAGCCGCGCTATGGCCCTGGGTTTTAAATGAGTACCAGGAATTAATTAAATAATTTTCCTGGGGAGTAAAGCACAGCCGGCGCGTAAGGCTGACACCCTTACCGCCATCTTTGAGCCGATTGTCTAGATAATGTAGGACCCTCAACGTCTCACAACCCTATGGGCCTTCACGGCCTGTTACAGGGATAGCTTTACTTTTTTTTTTTACTTTACATGTAGGTAGTATTCAGTTAAACAGTTCCTAACTTAGGTTATAAAATTTTTAATGTTCAGCAAATGCCTAGTTTGTTTGCTAGGTTCCTTAGTTAATGTGTTTGTTGACGTCCCAGGACCGAGTACCGCGGTATAATGAATGGAATTTCCGTCTGGTATTCGGGAGGTGTAGGGCTCGAACCGAGTATTCTGACTGAAGTACTATTGCGGTTTTCGGCGATTCATTCAGTGCCTTATACTGGACCACGATTTCTTCCTTCTACAATTTACTAATTATCATTTACAGTAATCCCATCGTGTTTCAATATGTAACTAGCAGTAATCAGAATATCAATCCTTGGTAGTTGGGTAGGTAGGTACTAAGCAGGAAGTAGGTAAATGGATCACAGTTTATCTGTTATTTATTTTCTTAATTACCTACTCGGCCAGTCAGTTACTTAGTTAATTAAAATTCAGGCAATAAATTTACAAATTCTATAGTTCATTTACAATTTTATATCTGAGGTTATGACTCAGTGTAGTCTGAAAGGTGCTATCAGCGTTTTCACGAAGTGGAAGCAGCGTCTTCCTGCGACACGTTGATAACCGCCAGACTGTGGTATTTAATTCAGTCAGTCAGTCAGTCAGTCAGTCAGTCGGCGAGTTAGTCATTGACACGGCCGCGTCATAGCTCAAGCGGTTAGTCATCGGCTTCCCATCGCGACGGCCTGTGTTCGATACCGGGTCTGGTCAAGTGGGTTTTGTGGTGGACAAAGTGGCGCTGGGGCAGGTTTTCTCTGTGTACTTCGGTTTCAGCTGTCAATTTTCATTCTACAAATTGCTCCACAATCACCCTCCCCTGTCATCTGGGGCTGGTACAATAGGCGAGAAGTGGCCGCAGTACAAGGGACTTAGTCCCACCCCACTAGCAATAAAAATAGTCATTGACACAAAAAATGTTTTCAGGTACTCATTACATGCTCGCTGATTGGCATCGAGGTGGGCGTCTCGGTCACGATGCTGGTTCTGGAGCCGGCCGCCCCGACGTTGCTGTTTCCGACGCTGGATCGCGTGGTGCTAGCCTGCAACACGACTCCGCTTGGGGTCGTCGCTCCTCTGGCCTTCGACTTCTTGCTGATCGCACTCTGCACACTGTATGCCATCAAGACACGGAACGTCCCAGAGAACTTCAATGAGGCCAAGTTCATAGGCTTCGCCATGTACACGACGTGCGTCATTTGGATTGCCTTCGTCCCCATCTACTTTGGCAGCGACTCCAAGGTTCGTATCTCGTCTTCGCTTTCTGCTCGCTTCCCACAGACGAAGATTAAGCTAGCTCAGCCTTTTAAGTAGCAAGTCCTAAGGTTCATACAATGAATGGAGGTAAAGTACCACACATTGTAAGGTTCGGTAGCAGAAAGAGGTGACTTGTTAACTTTGGTCTCTGGTCGTTTTGTCCCCGAAGGAAGAGCATTCGTAACTTACTGGGGAAGTTAGGCCGCCCCATAGCTCAAGCGGTTCCATACGGGGTCTGGTCAAGTGGGATTTGTGGTGGACAAAGTGGCGCTGGGGCAGGTTTTCTCCGAGTACTTCTGTTTACCCTGCCAATCTCCATTCGACCATTTGCTCCACAATCACCCTCACCTAATATCTGGGGCTGGTACAATATGCCAGAAGTGGCCGCAGTACAAGGGACTTAGTCCCACCCCATTAGCAATAAAAAATGCTGGGGAAGTTACTATACAGAATGACCACATGAAATATATACTGTCTTTCTCGGTCATTTAAGTCTCTTTAATTGTCTTGGGGTGGGGTGAGACTGAGTCCACTTGGTACGTCGGCCACTAATTGGCCTATTATACCAGACCCGGATGATAGATGATGACCAATGTGGAACAGTCAGTGGAATGCGACTTGGCAGGGGAAACCGAATTACTCATAGAAAACCAGCCCCAGTGCCACTTTGTGTACCACAAATTCCACATGACCTGACCTGGGTTCGAACCCGGATCTCCTCGGTGGGAACCCGGTGACTAACCGCCTGAGTTATGGCACGGCCTAATCTGACATTTCTCGTGAACTGAAAGGCACAGGTAGGAAACTCAGTACAAACAAAAAAAGAACAAACTCCGTGGCCTATAGTTCGAAGCGAACTATACCGACCGAGCGATCGCCGGTTGTCGGCGAAGTTTAGTGCCAACTTTTGCGGATAGATGGTGTCACATGGTCAGTGCAACGAATCCCCACGGCCGTCAATTTCGGTTTTCTAGACCGGAGCCGCTATTTCCTTGAAATAACTCCGCAATTATCGTCACAAGGCTGAGTGGACCCCGTACCAGACCCACTACTTCTCAGAAAATCTGGTAGCGCCGGGAATCGAACCCGGACCTCTGGATCTGTAGCCAGGAACTGTGACCACTAGAGTACAGAGGTTGCACTGGTTAGTGAACAATACAGATAAAATTATTAACACGAAAATGGACTTTGTTTTCGGAATGACTGGGCTGCAATTGGGTGACTCCGGTAGATGTCTCTGTAATAAAATTTAAACGCAAAGTTTCGGATGAATGCCGCAAGAGGAACAGCGTAACGTGCCAGTCAAACAAGACAATGCGATTATCGAACCTATGTTGTTTTATTCTCCGATCACTTGTGTACAGTCCAGCTGGCACGTACACGTAAACCGGATTAAAGGTTTGAAAGATTTTAGTACTGTGTCGCTTTTTACAATTCAGTTAATCCTTCTCCCTTGTTGTGGCAGACAAGTGAACTTATAATTAAACAGTCGAGATCCAATAATTCGATATCAGCTTTCTGCCCACAAAAAGTGGCCGAGGGCTTAATTTATAGATAGACTGTTTTAAATTCTTATTGGCCGAGAGCAGGTTCCATTGGGGACGAAGTAGACTTGTATTGCCGATGTTCTCTGCCCCGATCTCTGCCGGGGCACAGGCTGTGCTGACAGAATTTTCGTGGATTCCCTCATCACTCCAAGCAAATACCAGGAGGAAACCTCGATTTTACCACGACAACTTCCTTCAAAATTCTTGCCAATTAAACACTTCCCGAATAAAATTCTAGAGCTTTAAGCCAATATACAGGGCGTTTCACGACTTTAGGGCATAACTGCAGGAGGTGATTTCCTAGGTCTTTGTGATGAAATAAGTTCATATAAACACGTGTCCAATTTTGGACGGTTACTGAGTTATGACCGTTTTAAACTCAGAATAGAAGGTAACGATTACTGACAATAAACGGAACAAAATAATAAACCAGCATAATACATGATACATTTGAAGTATGAATGTAAAGTTAACTTCGTGAAATTATCTTTAATTTGAATTTATTGGTGCTTAAGGCTGATTTTCGAAAATGCCACCGCCGGCCGCAACACAGGCCGACGATCGGTTGTGAACCGCGCCGGACATACCAACCCTCCCCGCCTTAGGTACATCTCAAGCGTCGAGATAACGAGAACGGTCTGTCTGTAGCTGGCTAAAGATAGCGACCCACCAGCTGACAGACGCGGTTCACACGAGGGCGTGTACGGGAATGAAAAAACGGTCACAACGCCGTAACCGTCCAAAATTGGACACATACTTATATGAACTTTTTTGATCATAAAGACATAGGAAATCACCTCCTGCAGTTATGCCCTAAAGTCGTGAAACACTCTGTATGCCGTGAGCGAACTTGTAACAGAAATGTAGAATGGACACAACATTTCCGCCCGAAAGCCTAGAGGAGACACAAGACTTGGGAGTCTAGGCAGAGATGGAAGGATAGCTTTGTAGGGATGTGAACTAGGTTCCGCTAGCTCAGGGTAGGGCCAATGAAAGCGAACTGATGGCATCCAGCCTCTGGAGAAGGCAGTCAGAAACAGCTGCTCCTTTCCTTCCTCAGGTGATAACGATGTGTATGTGTGTGACGCTCAGCGCCATGGTGACGCTAGTCTTCCTGTTCCTGCCGAAGATGTACATAATTCTGCTTCGCCCCGAGAGGAACAATCGCGCCCTCTTCACCACTTCTAAGAGCATCCGCTGTCACATCGGAACCCGCGTGGCGTCCGCGATTTCCAGCAAGAGCTCCAACTCGTACTCCAGCACCGAGTCGCCCAGGTAACATCTGGCTAAGGTTGCTTATGCAGTATTGTGGCCAGTGCGGTAGTTAAGGGAGCATAGTGTGGGTAACTGGTTACTGCGTCAGTGGTTGGCAGGGTGACTGCATGTCTAAGAGCGGTAGTGCATGGGTGTGTAGGTCGTTACGTGAATCAGTAAGTTGCTTACTTAGTTACTTACATATCTTACTAGTTAGGTATATAGCTATCTTTTTTTTGTAAATATAGCTACGCAATTGGTTGTTTGGTATAACTACTATCCTTTTTTTGTAAATATAGCTACGCAATTGGTTGGTTGGTAACTTAACTATCTTTTGGTAATCCTATATTTGCAGCTCACGGTAGCCGAGCGGTCTAAGGCATGCACTGTCTTCGCTCGCTCGGAAGCCGGGATCGTGGGTTCGAATCCCACTCAGGGCATGGATGTTTGTGTGCGTTTTTCTGTGTTTGTCTACAGGTAGAGGCCTTGCGACGAGCTGATCACCCGCCCAAGGAGTCCTACCGTATGTGTAAGATCTAAAAAAAACGAAGTGAATGGAGTTCAAGGAGGTAGGCCTAGGCCCACTGGGGCTGTAGTGCCAAGGAAAAAAAAATCCTATGTTTAAGCATCCTGTTGCATTACTATATCTAAAACTGTTTATGTACTACACATTTCATCAACAATGCAACAAATTTTTCCTACTTTCTTTCACTTTCACTTTCGACACAACATGTTTCGGCTCTAAATGACAATCTTCAGGTGTCTCACTATGCCAAAACTGCTACACTGCGCTAATATTATCCATTCATTATGCAACTGTACGCTTCATGATTTAAAACGTTACACTCGTAGTCAATTGGTACGCGCTAAAATAGCACACGCTGTACTTCACTTAATTAGAATCAAATGCAAATGAAATCTATTATAATTTTCTTTAAATTTTGTAAAATTCTTATTACACCTCACAAGGGGTGTCATCCACTTGTTTAGATCTGTATCCTTTTCTTCAGATGTTTTAATGCGGCAGCCTGTTTTTCTATTCGTAAGCCCGTTGTTGTGTTACGTCTGTAATTTCGGATTTTGCCCCTTCTTGTGCGTTGTTCCCTCCAGCAGCATGCGGTGTTGTCGTCACTTGTGTCAAGCGGACGACGCCCCTTTTGAGGTGTAATAAGAATTTTACAAAATTTAAAGAAAAATTGACTGCAAATATGACGTTTTAAACATGAAGCGTGCAGTCGAATCTGAGACGAATGGACAGTAGTAGTACAGTGTAGCAGTTTTAGCATAGTGAGACACCTGAAGATGGTCATTTAGGGCCGAAAGATGTTGTGTCGAAAGTAAAAGTGTAAAAAAAAAGAAGGAACAATTTGTGGCATTGTTGACGGCCTGTGTAGTACATAAACAGTTTTCGATACATTTTGGTTAGTTTTGCAGTCAGTCAGTCTTCCTTAAATCTCCGGTAGTTTGATAGTTTTCTCTCCATAGAAGATGCTATCCTGTTTCTCTTCTCACAGATACGCAAATTCATATCACGAAGTTTGTGGTTGCCCTTCCTGAATTCATAAAACTGTCTTATTTTTCCCAGTTTTTCATAAATATTCATATTTTATGATTTACGTAACGACGCTGTCCATAGTTCACACTATAATAATAAGATGACTACTGAATAATGAATTGGAAAGATGTAGAAAGAATTGGTCGTGGACTAATTTCAGGTATAATCACATCATTTGTCTGGAGGGACAGAAAAAACCACGAAGACTCTCAACCGTCACAGCTGGTTTACGGGCCGAGATTTGAATACAAAGCAGAAATGCTATCCACTTGACCACAACATTCGGCATTATTCATAAGGAAGGGTTTTCGACAGAAGATAACTTCATCAGCTGAGTAACTTTCTGGTTCGCAAGGTGGATCGTGGAAATTGACAGAAGTGAAAAGCGTGTAACGCCTACCGCAAGCATTAAGCCACACACTTGTTTCCAAATGTATATTTCTTCTCTTAAGATTCTCCGTACAGACACAAATGTGTTCTTACAAGACGAACTGTTGCCTGCACTAGATGTGAAGTTCTCAATATAGTGAAGACCGTCTTGTCTGGTATATAGGTACAAATATTTTGAGAGAACATGGTTCCTCTATCTTCAGAGTTGGAATCAGTCTAACTGGGAAAGCGTTTCTCTGGTATCTGAGCACAGAAGAAGTACGAGTATATTCGTCCTAAACGTTGATGTCAATCCACCCACAGTGTTTCACATCTCGTCAGTAAACTTTGCATAAACTTCCACCGCGGGTTCGGTCCCGAATCTCTTTATGGGATCCCTAACGGACAACGTGATAGTTAGCCAGAGTTTCTCCGCGTGTTTCTGTCTCCTCTATACATTCCTTTTCGCATCAGAATGACCCATTTCTCTCATTCGTTTCTTGAGCTGATAAATTGGGCTATTTACGGCGAAAGTGCCAAGGAATTCAGTCACATTTTTTTTTCCTGTGGCGCTACAGCCCCAATTTGGGCCTAGTCATACCTCCACGAAACTCTCCGTTTCACTTCGGTTTACTAGAGCTTACACATACGGTAGGACTCCTTGGGCGAGTGATCAGCTCGTCACAAGGCCTCTATCTGTAGACAAACACAGAAAAACGCACACAAACATCCATGCCCTGAGTGGGATTCGAACGCACGATCCCGGCTTCCGAGCGAGCGAAGACAGTACATGCCTTAGACCGCTCGGCTACCGTGACCGGCAATTCAGTCACATACCACACTAATACTGGAAAAAAAAAAACAAAAAACAAATATAAAACCAAATCAAATTATGTTAACACCAAATTTTGTTGAAGTGCCTTCGGAGATGAAACGTACGGAAGAACAGTATATTTCATTAACAGTGAGTATTCATATTTTCTACGTACAGATCATAAAGAATAGAGTAGGTCTGCGTAAAATTATATTGGTATTGATTTAGACAAGGAATCAGCGTGACATTAATGTTAACGCAGATCTCGTATTTGTTACACCTTCTCCCGGAAAATCCATTCCCTAAATTGGAAAGAAGTAAAATAACTCGGAGTGAGATTTTTGGACGAAAGAGCAAAGCCTGACAGTTTTATTAGGCCCATAATACACCGTTATTTAACTTCTGTATACTTGGCAAACACATCGTTGCTCCCCCAGAAGGACTTAGAAGCACTGCACTGGTGATTAAGAAAATATTTGAAGATATTCTGCTTGTACCTGCACATTATATCATAGGCTTATCCAAGAAATAGTAACGTTGGCCATAACAGTGACGAGAATATTAATAGTTTTTTTATTGCTAGTGGGGTGGGACTAAGTCCCTTGTACAGCAGCCACTTCTGGCCTATTGTACCAGCCCCAGATGATAGGTGAGGATAATTGTGGAGCAATTGGTGGAATGAAGATTGGCAGGGGAAACCGAAGTACTCGGAGAAAACCCGCCCCAGCACCATTTTGTCCACCACAAATCCCACTTGACCAGACCCGGATCGAACCCGGGCCCCCGCGATTAATAGTCTTTTGCGGACATTTTAAAATTTTTCGGCGAAAGAGGGCTCTAGATACTGCGATGACGAAAAATGAGCTGATATTATTTGAAGTCATACGAAACATAACCCACTGCAAATTCACCATAGTCGAAGTTGTTTACTTCCTGAACATGCTTGGATATAAGAGGAGGCATAAATGAACTGCTTACTGCAATGTATCTTAAGATCTTGAGTCAGTCGTGCATAGAAATGACGATCATTCTGGGCGGCCATCGACTGTAACGTGCTGAGACTAACGAGCAAGTGCGATAAGCTTATTCTGGTAAATTAAGAAAATCAGCATTCATGGAATTACATCTAAAATACACATGACAAAAAAGAAAAAACTATGACATGAATAAATTAAGAGTCACCTGAAAACAGTTTATTTTGTCGGAATCAGGAAACTTGGAGACCGTAGGACCAAACTGCGTTGATAAAAATGTTTATTCCTGGGGAAAATATGATATGCTCATTTATTGTGTGATTATCTTGCTAAAACCACTTCATAGTTACTGCTTCTAATTATGAATTGTTTCCGAATATAAGGATCGTGATATATATCGAAATTATGTTAACCGTCAATACAACAAATGTACTCAGTTTTAATATTTGATCTTATTCCTGCTACATGTTTCGGTCATACAAGATCATCATCAGGTAATTATATATAGGAATACGTACAGTTATTGAACTAACGATGCGGGTCCATATAAGTGCTACGTGTCGTAATATATTCTAACATAAAACTTTTGCCTCAATTTTGTGTTACAATTAAAGCAGAAATACAAAAATAAATAAAAGATAAACATAAAAGGAATGCCATATATCAAGATTATAATATGTTGAATATATTATAGAATATTAAAAATATTAAAAAGTATTTTTAAAATATTTAAAAATACATTAAAGATTTTTTTTTTTGGTATGGTAGGTGAAGAATGTGTATGCCAACTTAAATACTAAGGTTCCAATGGTACAGTGTAGAACTGGGCATGTATATTGTTTGTAGGTGTTTTTTGTTGAAGCTTTCAACGCAGTAAGCCCGGTTATGGAGCCCAAAAACAAGTTTTTATGATATACGGGTTGTTAATGTGTGGTATATTGGTATGCTATTTACACGATATGTATCTATATATAATCATAAAATATGGTGTATGTGTTTCTTGTCTGGACGTATTTATTTTCGGTGTGTTCTATACTGTGCGTTGGTTCGATGTATATATTAAAACTGAGTATATTTATTGTGTTGACGGTTGACATAATTCCTATATATATATATATATAT